GCTCATTTCCTGGCAGTTCTCCAGTGTGTTGATGGAAAGGAGCATTGCTCTCTAAGGCCCAATCTTGTACATTGCAGTGGTTCCTCAACTCCACTGGCAGTTGGGTGTATTCTCCACTGGGTGTATTAACTCCAAGGAGGCATCTGGCCGACTGCATGAATGAAACTCCCGTGCACATCTGTGAACACAACCTATGCCAATACACTTGCTTTTATGCAAGCAGAGATGCTAGAAAAAGAGAGCGCAATTTGTGGCCAGAGGTTGGATAGTTTGCAGACATCACTACATTACTGGATACCAGAAGTCAAGGTGTCCCTTTTAACTCTAACAGCCTATGAAATTGAGGGGAGGGACCAAGCAGTGACTCCTACCCCTGTACAAGACAACTGTACAATTTACATATATATTTATATACAGTATATAAACATCTCTTTCTTCTTGAGTCCCCATGAACTCAGAAACGTAAGTTGTCAGTAGCTGTCCAATTTTTTTTTTTAAGTCATGCTCTCTTTTTCCCACTCTCCAAAGTATTAGATAATGGCATTAACAACAAACCAAAAACCCAAACCAATCATTTTAAAAAGTGCAAACATTCTGGGTGCCACTTCTGCTATGCTGGATGTTGCCAATGCCACATGCATGGTTGCAGGCAGCAAGGTGTCCGTCTGTCCATCCTTGGGTGGCCCTCCTGTCTTCTATTCAGATCTGCTCCTAGACCAGGCGTCCTACTGAAGCGGGTGGGTCAGGCAGAATATTGGTGGGGGAGGTGAGAGAAAAAAAACAAAATTAAAACCAAAATTACAGACTGAGAGTGTAAGTGTGCCATACACAGCTGCAGTACACAGCTTCTGTGTGACAGAAAAGGCTTCTGGAGGACAAAGATTTCATAGAAATCTGCACAGCAGAGAAGGGCTAGGACTTAAGGAGAAATAGCCTTGTGGAACAGGCAGCTTTGAATGAGTCAGATACACAGCCTAAGGCATGGCTGTATTTTTAAAACACAAAGCCTCTCTGCTCATTCCCTGCTGGGGAATGGGAGAATAGTCTGGGAACAACCACCACGCCCTCTCTTTCATCTAAGGCCCATTCTTGTTTCCACTAAAGAGCAGAACTCCTATGGATTCCAGTGAAAGTAGGATGGAGCTCTCACTGCTCTACCAATATAAATCAACTTCAAGGGTGATCATCTGGGTTCCTTCCCCATCAGAGAGCAGGTCTGTGAGGAATTAAAAAAGCATCTCTCTCTGGCCCTCCAGCAACAGGACCCAAAAACCTCTCTGCTAACCCCTCCTAGCAGCATTCCTGGACAACATGCTCTCAAAGCCCACTGTGCTACTGAAGGCCTGACTCCAAAGCTAAGACTGGGGTTTTAGCAAATCCTGCAAACTGAGAGCATGGATTCAGTGGAAGGGGAGAGATATCAATACTTAAAAAGCTAAAGAGCTCTGGTAAGATCTGGGGGAGCCATGGCACTGAGGTTAATTAGTTGGTTGTATTGAGGGTCAGATCTACTGCTGTTATGAAATCCTGAAGCTACAAACTGCTGCCATGTGGCTCTAATAGCAACTGTCTGAGATCAGAAATTCCACTGAGCAGCATAGGGCTAGGCAGAGAGCTATTGCAAGCAAAGCTGCAACTTGCACTAACACACTCATCTTTACTTAACTGGAAATGAGTGAGAGACAACGTAGCCTTTTACTTTAATGGAGTTACACATTTTCCCCAGCAGTACTGTATATCTCCTCTTGCGGCTTCTCCAGTCCTGTTAGTCAAGACTGGCATACTGATGGTGTTCACTCTACTGGTCCTTGCTAGCACAATGGATCAGGTTGTGGATGGCCCTTTTATAGGTACACAGAAGGTTTATTGCAGGAAGGACGCAGAACTACAACTCTGTCACCTTCTGTACTGGCCAGCAGAGATGGTCAGTCATGGAGAGCAATTGCATTCTCTTACATGGCTGCTTAATGACCATATTGCACATATGCCAGAGGGAGCTCACGGAGGACTAAAAATTGCCAACTTTACCTGAAGGCAAAGGAGAATGTTCCTGCAAAGTTGGATGTAAATGCATTTTGAGTTAATGTCCGTTAGAAAACTGTCCTGCTTTGAAATTTTGACTCGCCTAATACTCTTTCTAATCTAGTCTCTAGCAACAGCAATTAAAATATTTTAACAAAAATTCTTGTAACTGATATCTTCTCTTGTCAATTGATCAATGTTCTAAGGGTTACAGTTACATGCAAAATACGAAGATACAAGATCAAGATAACTCAGAAGAAATGTAATAATCCATGGGTGAAAGTGACAGATTGTTCAATTATTTTAATAGATGCTGAAACTTTAAAATCAGAAGAGATAATTCTATCACCTAGTTGGACCTCCTGTCTATCACAGGCCATTGCTTTTTCACACTGTACCCCAGTACTGAGCCCAATAACTTGTGTCTGACTAAAGCAATTCTTCCCAACAGGCACCCCTAAGTCTTGGCTCAAAGACTTCAAGAGCCAGAGAATCCACTACTTCCCTTGGTAGTTAATCACTTGATTGTTCAAAATGCCTGCCTAATTTCCAATCTGAGTTTGACTTCAGCTTCCAAGCAATGGTTATGCTTTTCTCCGCTTCATCAAAGAGCCCTTTTGTACTCAGCATTCTTGCCCCATGGAAGTACCTGGATACTGTAATTAAGCCACCTCTGAATCTTCCTTTTGCTAAACTGAACAGGGAGAGCTTTACGTTTCTCATGGAAGTTTTTCTCCAGCCCTCATAATTTTTGTGGCTCTTTGTGCAATCTGTTCTATTTTTCATCATCCTTTTTAAAATGCTGTGCAGCATTTCATTATCTATCTGACCAATGCCATATACAAAGATAAAATCATCTCCATAGCCCTCATCACTACTACCTTGATTATACATGTAAGAATCACTTTAGCCCTTTTTTGGCACAGTTTATGTTGAGTAGTTTGTACTGTATGATCCTTAAGTCCTTTTCAGAGCCACTACTTTCCAGTTCCCCATTCTGTAGCTATGGCCTATATTCCTTGTTCCCAGAAGCATGATCTGGCAAATGTATTAAAAAGCATTTTGTTTGAATGGGCAACCATTCCTAAGCAACCCAGATTACTTTGTGCAACTGTCCTGTCCTCATCATTATTTGTCACTATGCCAATCCCTGTATCATCCACAAATTTTAAATTAGTAGTGATTCTATATTTACTTCCAGGTCATTAATAAATATCAAATACCATCAGTTCTAGAGCTGATCCTGATGGAATCCCTCTAGAAACAGTTCCATTCCACATTAACATACCTCAGGACATAGTTGTCAGTTAGTTCTTAATCCATTTAAAATGTGTTTTATAGATGCTGAACAGTGCTAATTTTTTTAAAGAGACTGTTGTGTGGTACTAAGTCAAACATCTAACAAATGTCTAGTATATCTATACATTTACCTTCACCAATGACAACTGTATTGTGCATTTCTTAATTCTTGTAAAGAATCATGTGCTTGTTTATTATGTGGGCAACATAAAATTTACCATGTCCTTCAACTAGCTTTCGGAAATTGTAAGTATATGTGAATAGGAAGCACTGCTGAATAAGACCTGAAGTAAATGTAAGGTTCCTTAATAACATACTTTACAAACAGTGGATATTATTATCCCCATTTGGAAAACTGTGGCTCAAATTTAAAAATTACCCAAAAATCACACAATTTGGCTGGGAGAAAGGGGGGAATGAAACAAAGTTCATTGACTCTAATTCCACGTTTTAACTTCTCTTAATCTCTTAAACTGTATTGCAAAGTCAACTCATTGGACAGATGTCAGGCAAGAAAATAGGGAAGGCCTCATGAATTTTAAGGTATGTGAGTGTTAAAGAAGAAAAAGGAAATACTTACTGAAAGGGTTAATGCCTTGTCTTTTTCCATGGGGGAAACTGCTAGCACTACCTGCAAAATCCAAGAATATTATTTGTTTAGTACTATGAACAGTTTGGGGTTCTTCTAAATTTCAGAGATAATTTTTGTAAAATGCAATGATTGTTCTGCTAATAACAATGGAAGATAATTGCTGACTGCAGTGGGGTGCAGTAATGTAGGAAGGCTCTGGGCAAAACTCACTTATATTTACACACATGTATCTCAACAGTGCATCTCAGCTTTGGCTGCATCATCTCTGAGCCCTGATCTACACTAGGACTTTATTTTGAAACCCCCTTAAAGTCAAATTTATAAGCAGTGCGTCCACACTATCAAACCCATTATTTTGAAATAACAGGCCTTGGAATTCAAAATCTGTACTATTGCTTTTTATCAGGAGTAATGCTAATTCCAAAGTAGTTCTATAATGTGGCCGCTCTACTGCTGGTATTTTGAAATAACTACTCCCCAGAGTAAATCAAATTAAATACTCCCTAGTGCTTCCTGGGGCTCTAAGCCTGAGGTAGCGTGTCCATATTAACAGAAACTGTCTCAGACTAATTTTGAGGCTTCCCCGTAGTGTGGACACGCTAGTTCGAATTTGTTAAATCAGGAGTTAAGTTGAATTTAACTCTAAGGCCATGTCTACACTAGGAAACTATTTTGAAATTAGTAGACTTTAACTGGATTAAAATATAGATGTTAAAGGTCTTGGATTACATTGTAGGTAGTGTAGATGCAGCGTAAGATTTCTCTAAAGACCACCAACCTGAATGAACAGTTTTATAAGGTGCTCAGACTGCATGAATGTATGGCTCAACCTTATTTGGATCTCTGGAGTCTACAATGTTAAGCCAAAGTGTTCATAGTTGGATACTTACATCCATATTCAGGTACTGAATGAGAAGAATGAGAGAAATGGCCTGACCTTCTATCAGGGGGTACACCCCTGTCAAGGGGTTCGGCCCCCTCCTAACGGGCCTATATAGTACCCCAAAGTCCCAACGTAAAAGTCCAGGCCCCTCTATCAGGGCATATAAGGTACTACAGGCCTAGCCGCTCTGAGAAGCCTCCCCTGGCCTGGGGTTTGCTTATCCAGGGTAGGGGAAAAGGGCGGTGGGGGGACCCAGGCCCTCCCTCTCCACTGGGTCCCAGCCCAGGGCCCTTTAGGCAGGGCCTATGGCTCCTGCCCGCTTGTTGGGGGATCCGGCCGATACACACCGAGCCAAACTTTATATCCTTTGCCCTGGGCTGCTTCCTACTGCGCCCTGGTTCTCCCCGGACCCCTTTTGCGGGCGCACTCCTGCCACCCTGGGTCGGCGGCTGCTTTCTCCGTGTCAGGGTCAGGCGCGGGCGGCGACTCTGGTCCCAGCGGCTGCAGGAACACTGGCCCGGCCTGGTCTCCTCCCTCACCCTGTGGCCTTCCTAACTGCAGGGCTCCTTCTGCCTTTATACCTGGCCGCTGCTTGGAGCATGCCCAGCAGGGTCGGAGGGGCGGGGCTTCCTCCGCCAGCTGGGCCTGGGCTATCCCCTGTTCGTCAGTGCGGGGCCTGTCCGCCCCGTCACACCTTCCAAGGTGCCGAGCACCATAACATTCATTGAATTCAGTGGGAAGGTGCACAGCACTTCTGAAAGTGAGCCCATGTGTGGCTTTTAGGTGCTGATTTTAGACACAAAAATTCGATCATTTTGGTCAGTATCTGAAATCTGAGGAAAGTCAGTATGCCTACTTCCAGTCAGAACCAGAAAGTGTGCTACCTATTTCTATGCCAGGCTGGAGACAGATGCATGCACGATTCTGGGACTTTGCAGTAGGTTTTGGCTCTCTGATGTGCAGTCTTCTTTCTTCTCAATATTTTGGGTGTATTACAGAAGCAAGCACCCTTCCTATTTCTCCCATCATTAGCCACATACATTTAAAACACTCCCTTCCCCTGGAACTCTCATTAGTGGAAATCACACTATAATATATAGTAAGGCTCCTTACACACCCCTAAGCAATTCCTCCAACATTGCACCCAAGTCTGATGAGAAAGAACTCAGAAGCCAAGCCTACTGTCTCACGGGAATTAGACCTTCCATGAAATCAGGGGTATGCTTTGCAGCTTAGAAAAGAGGATATTAAGGGGGGATATTATAGAGGCCTATAAAATCATGACTGATGTGGAGAAAGGGAATAAGGATGTGCTATTTATGCCTTCTCATAACCCAAGAACTACGGGTCACCTGATGAAATTAATAGGCAGCAGGTTTAAAAACAAACATAAGGAAGTACGTCTTCACACAATGCACAGTCAACCTGTAGTTCTTTCGAACATTCTAAAGCCATATAGTACTAATGCTGATTTCACATGTTAATTTCAGTGGTAGAAAGTAATAAAATTAAGGAATACAGTTACTATGACTGTCCATAGCAAGTTATAGCGGAATAGAGAAAAGCTTCCATAACACTAGGGAAGCCAGCTGCTTTAGTCCTCTGGACCAACAATGTTACAGGCTTGCATTAAAGTTTATAATATATGCACATAAAAGATGTAACATTAACATTAAGATGCTAACTTCCAAACAATCCCTGACTCCCTCCCACGCAGTGCTCAGTTGGAGCAAATTAGGTTTGCATGTGGCATCAAAGACAGGGCTGATTGGGAGAAAAGCATACATGTACCGGCCCTCTTCCCCCAATGGTTTGGCCCATGAGCTATAACTGTAGCCAATGCCCACACATGCCCATATGCCCCAACACTAGGGATGTAAGCAACTAGTTAACTATCCGAGAAGAATAAACGTATCGGATAATCGACTAGTGATGTGACTAGTTGCTTCCCCGCACTTGCTGCCTCTATCAGAAGCAGCAAGAGAGGAGCAGGGACTAGCACTGGGGGGAGCTGGCTTAAAAGCCATGTTCCCCCAGCATGGTCTCCATGGGAGACAGGGGAGGTAGAGGCACAGCAGGAAACGGCATGAGTGGGGACTGAAGCAGTCTCCACTCACGCCGCTTCTACTGAGATTCTGCTTTTGAAATGTACATTTCAAAGGCTCAGGTGCTGCAGAGAGCACTGGGCCAGCAGGGAAGTCGTCCTGCGCTCTTTGCAGGGCTTCCTTTTGAAATGTAGCAAGAACCCACCGGGGCTCTTGTACGCTTCAAAGGTGGAGGCGCCCTTATAGACTAATCAAATAATCAATGGAAATCGCATCGACTATTCAATTGGTTAATCAATCTAAATTTAACATCCTTACTCAACACAGCATGCTAAATATACAGAACTTCCTGTGGTGAACATCACTGGTTGTGCCCTTTCCTTCCTTCCTTATGCACTATTGCAAGACAAACATTCAGTAAAATAATAAAATAACAAAAATTAAGTTTTGAAGGGCTCACCGTTAGAAACACACAATCTTTTTGCTTGTAAACTGAGCAGCTCAAACATTCAATGCCATGTTGCTGATTTTATTTTCATTCAGCACACTAGACTGCCTTATGGGATATGTTCCTCCACTTCTGAAAGGAAAATAGCTCACCTCCATCCTTACCGACTCCCAAGCACCCCTTTAGCTCCAGCAGTGAGATAGACTTGTCCTTGTTGAGGTCGCAGTAGTCAGCAAAGCGTCGAGCACATTTCTTGGGCTTGGCTTTCTTCTTCACATACCGCTTGAAGGGCTTCATCTCCCGCTTGTTGATATCACTGCTGCTATTGTTATCCAGCTGGCTGAAGTACCAATGTACCACTCGTTCCTCCAGTGTGTGACTGGGATCTGGCTCAGAGAACCTAGAAAACAAAATGAGTCCCCAAATAACCAGAATGTACTTGTTAATGATTGTAAATGCCTTCTGCCTGGCCACATCGCTGGCTCAGTTTGTGACAACCTGTATCACATTTTGCCTCCTATGACCAGAAAAAGTAGATTCCTGGTCCATGAGGCTGTTATTCTTAGGTACCCTCGGTAAATGTTCCCTTATGACCAGAGGTCTGAAAACACCTCCCTCTATAATTAAGTTTCATAGGCAAGGGTTGGTTTGGGAAAGGAATGAACAGAAAAAGAATGGATTTGAGCACCAGTGAAAGGTAGAAGATGAAGAGCCCTAATGAACTACATCCTTTGTGTATCCACCGAGCAAAGACAACATGAGCAGCAGCAATACACACTTCTCTACCACTTTCTCCCAAGCACTATGCCTCAGCCTCTCTTCTCTGGTGAGACAGCAATTCAGTCATAATAATCAACTGTCAGGGTGGTCAAATATTGGAATAAATTGCCAAGGGAGGTGGTGGAATCTCCCTCTCTGGAGATATTTAAGAACAGGTTAGATAGACATCTGTCAGGGATGGTGTAGACGGAGCTTGATCCTGCCTTGAGGGCGGGGGGCTGGACTCGATGACCTCTCGAGGTCCCTTCCAGTCCTATTATTCTATGATTCTATGATTCTATCATGGCCCATTTAGTCCTTGGTCTCTCAATTGAGACTGGCAGCAAGAGGAACAATTAGTACTAAGCATGTCAGTAGTTTCTATGATGTGGACCCCAACCATTAGGAACAGGATCCAGCTTCTTGAATTCATTTCATGCAAGATGCATTTATTTATTTGAAAAAGTCTTTGGACAATTGTGCTGTGTCAATTTATGTGATCTCACCACCCATGTTTTATTCACTGAATGGTTTCCAGAGGTGGCCTCCCTTCACTGCAGGTGAGTGTAGAGAGGGGCCAAATCAGAGTAAGACTGATTAAAACAGGACAAGGACTTTAGTCTCTCAAGCCTGCTGTTTTAATCCATCCCAACGACAATAGGAGGAAGGCTGGGTTGATTGACCTATCAGGGAAGACTGTTTAGTTTAGAAGGGAGAAGACTGAGGGGGGGACATGATTGCAGTTTCCAAGTATCTAAAAGGGTGTCACAAGGAAGAGGGAAAAAAATTGTTCTCCTTGGCCTCTAATGACAGGACAAGCAGCAATGGCTTAAATTGCAGCAAGGGAGGTTTAGGTTGGACATTAGGAATAATGTCATAACTGTCGGGATGGTTACGCACTGGAATAAATTATCTAGGGAAGTTGTGGAATCTCCATCACTGGAGATATTCAAGAGCAGGTTGGATAGACATCTAAACTGGATGATCTAGATCAGTAGTGCACAACCCGGGGGTTGGTGGTCGCAGCTGTCTTGCTTGGGGTGGGGGGGGAAGGTCGCAGCTCCAGAACAGCTGCCATTTTGTTTTCCCAGCTCAGCGCCTGATGTACGCACAGCGAGGGGAGTGGCCCAGTGCTTGAATTTAAAGGGACTGCAACAAAATGTTCTGGCCAGCATTTTTTTTTTTTTTTTTGCTCAACCAAATTTTCCTGGCCTGGGAGAAAGAAAGGACACAAATTAAAAAAGGTTGAGCACCACTGATCTAGATGGTGTTTGGCCCCGCCGTGAGGGCGGGGACTGGACTTGATGATCTCTTGAGGTCCCTTCCAGATCTAGTGTTCTGTGATTCTATGATAAATTCAGATTATCGTGAGGGCCTTGGGTTCTCTGGATGCAGTATAAATACCTAGGCTCAATCCCATTAGAGGGGAAACTGCAAAACACACTGAAACAAAATCTGTGATCATCTAACCCCTGGTGTACACTAGGGGATAAGTTTGAATTCGGATATGCAACTTCAGCTATATTAATTGTGTATCTTAGGTCAAAGTATTTTAACTCAAATTTTAGTGCCACCCACACTGTGGGAAGTTGAAGGAAGCATCCTTTCCCTTCGGCTTCCATTACTCCACACAGAAGCAGGACTACCGGCATCAATGGGAGTGCCCTCTCAGTCTGAATTAATGTGTCTTCACTGGTCCTGCTAATTCAAACCCCGGAAGATTGACTGTGGCTGTTTTGATGTTATCTGTAGTGTAGACATGGCCTTAAAGACTAGTGGTCTCCTCTGGTGTGGAATAGCAAGGATGACATTTTCTCTGCTGTGCAGCCAGCAGGGGTTGGGGAGGGGGATCTAAAGGGCTGCCATACTTCCAGCCCTCCAGCCTTCTCGGCATCCTTCGACAAAGCAGGTACTGTTGTTTAAGCAAGTGGGGGAAAAAAGACACATCAATCCGCACTAATTCAGAATAGTAAGGGGGCGGCATCTACAGCATGGCATGGAAGGTTGTGATCAGAGTATGGAGGAAGATGGGGATCATTGGCAAGCTTTACAAATGATACAAAATAGATATATAAAGGGCAGCCTCTGGCCCCAACATCTGGGTAAACCTGAAATAATAAATACAAACTAACCTTAAAAACCAGGGGGAATAAAAACTACAAACCAGTTTTTAAAGATTTTACTTGCAGAATTCAGTTCTGGGCTGTGTAGCAGACCAGCACTTGGAATTACAGCACCTGCTCAGTGCACAGTAGAAGTCAGGGAGGCTGGCTTAGCTCTCAGAGCCAAAATACCAGCCAAACCACTGAAGCCATGGAAACACGCAAAACAACGACAGTATCATGAAGGTGAGGGGCTGTCCTCATTTTTCAGAGCCTTGAAACTCTGCATGAGGTACAAGTTGCCAAGGCTGTGGAAAACACAAACTAGATCTTGTTGTGACTTGCATTTGTGAATGTAGACATTGATGCTTTTAGTTTTTGGAAACAAGATGGCTATTGCCTGAGGACTGGCTGATTTCCCTGGACTTAGGGAACACCTGAATGTCGGTGTTGTCAAGGAGAGTGCAGTTTTGATCACAGGACAATGGAGCTAGGCTAGGACTCCTGACTGGAGTGAGTCCTAACTGGCCTTACCTCCTACCTGCAAGAACACTTCCCTTACCTACCACATCTGCATGCCCTGCTGCTATGTCCTGGCCTCTTCATAAGGCTGGAAGTAGCAGGGCTGACGTGGGCTCATGGCAACAGCAGAGAGGGAAAAGGATGCAGAATTCAGAGCAGCGGCCAAAAGGAGACCAGGCGGGAAAGTGAGGATCTCTCTGTTTGTTGGAAGGACCAATAGTGGTGCTGGGTTGGGGCAGGAGCCCACGCATGAAAGAAATCTCCCCGTGTTCAAGAAACATAGGAAGAGTGGGTGAGAAGCAGGGGCTCTTCTTGGAAGAGAAGGGAAAGACAGAGAGCATGGGGAGTGCAACCAACTCCAATGCCTCGGTAAAGAACACCGAGGTCAGGTACCGCCCCCTGGGGTTCTCAGGGTTACTGTAAACACACCAAAGCATGAGGCTAGGGTACATCAAACATGAGCATTCCAGCCAGTGCAGTTGCAGTAGTATGTGTGGACAGGGGAGGATAAATCCATAAGAGTTACTTTAACCAAGGGGCTGGTAGTGGGGAAGGGAAGATGTAGCCCACATTGGTCTTTAATACCCACTACGATTGCTACAGAGCGCTAAAGCCGCTAAGGTGGTAACCTTCCCCTGACTGCATAGATATAGACCAATTTAAGAGAGAATGGAACAGAAGAGGCTTAGAGGGCTCCCTTAAATATTGCAGCTCAAAAGTCCAGTGTTTCTTTGGTTTGCTATTAAACAACACAACAAAAGGTGAGATGATGACACACTGCCTCAGCATCCTGAGATCATCTGTGTGTGCAAATATGTCTCATGCTTCATCAATGTGACATGGTTTTAGGTGATCTCAAATCACCGCTGTGTTTCCATGCTCTGAGACTGCATTGTGACGCAACATCACTATATTAGAACAGCTAGATTGTATCTGGAACTAGAATTGTCCTGCAAAACACAAGTGCTCACAGGTTGTGGGACAGACTGGCAAATTGGAGAGGACATGCATTCCCACCACTGAAAAACAGAGAGAGTTCAAAGGATCATATGGAAGCATAGGCCCTTCCTGAGCTGGTTCTCTCCTGATTCAATCCACCAGGGACCAGAGAATCATAGAATCATAGAATAATAGGACTGGAAGGGACCTCAAGAGGTCATCGAGTCCAGCCCCCCGCCCTCAAGGCAGAGAGACAGAGAGATATGTCACTTGCTCAGTATATTACGGTATCTTATTCTGACAACATCTGTGCTACACACTAGCCACATGAAAAGTACACAGGATACTCTAACTCTCTTGGAAAGGTGCAGTAACTGCTTGTGGAAAAGAAATCACACCGAACACCCAAAACAAAACAAGCCATGCACCCAGCACAGGACGTCTTCCCAGAGTTGAAGAGCACAGTTAGGAGAAAGGCCAGGGTGTTTTTGATGTGGTCAGTGAGAGAAGGCTGTGTGGGGAAGCAACCCATACAGGAAGGATGATTAATACTTCAGACAAACAAAAAACTGTTTTGCCCCCCACCTCAACATACTGTTAAGCCATCCAACAAAAGCAGGTCTTCAAAAGAGGGGTATGTATGTCATCATTTTGACAGAAGAGAATTAACAGACCTCAGAGAGATTGCCTCACTTTTGCACCCACTGTGCTAATAAATGTTTATATACCAATAAAGGAAGGAGCCTGGTCTATACGTCAAAGTGCATGGGTGGGAAGCAGGATTCCTAGGTTCCAATCCCAGCTCCCCCACTGACTCACTGTATTGCCTTGGGCAAATTATTTCCTCGGGCAAATCATTTCCCCTAACTACATCTCCTTCTATAAAATGGGGAGAGCATCCATCCACCTCATGAGTAGAAAGAGAGTATTAATTTGTTAACTCACAAGCGCTTTGAGATTCCTGGATGAAAGGTGCCACATAAGAGCAAAGTGTTCTTATGACTGCTTTATACTTCTGGTAAAACACTGATGCTATTTAGTTAAACTGGCAAACAGACAAAAACGCAAGGAGGTTATGTAAGTACATGCGTGTTTTTAAGTTATTGTGCTGAACTCTGAAGCAGAGCAGGTGGGAACAATCTGAAAAGGTCAGATTCCTGAAGTGATGTCTGTGCACAATCAAAAACATCTTTAAGCCCCCAGGGCCAAAGAGTCTGTCCTGCTAGCAAGATGCAAAGAGCTAATGCAGCAGCAGAGAAATAAAGGATAATGTGGAGGAGAACAGCAGTACCAGACATCACTTACTGTCAGGACCACTGCATTTATTTACACTATGTGCAATCTCATTATCTTCCATAGGATTGCAGTGGGTATTGATCAGAGCACAATATGCTTCTCAGTGATTGGAAAGGGTAGATGTAGCTACTAAATTGAAATCTGTACGCACAGTGGCTGTTTCCAACTCACAGCAGCCTCATCATTTCCAAAGACAAGTGAGCACAATACACAATAGGCATGACTGATGTAATGTCTACGTCTATGTCTAATACAAAATAATTGTAGTTAGTGACCTACTATAAATAGTTAGCTAGCATAAGACTGGATGAGAATAGTCTTATCACCTTTCCTGTCACCCTGGCTTGCTATGCACAAGAAAAACTAAAAGGTATGTGCACGTTGGGAAACATGGCATGTATCTTTTTGAATCATCCTTTGTCTGGCAATGACAGAAGCTGCAGGATGGAAGGATGTGAATAGTGCAGTGCCACAAAGTCCATGGTTGCATACACAGGCTATTGACTATAAATCAGAGGAAGTTGGGCTAGTCCTGTGCAAGCTGGGAGGAAGAAGAGGAGAGGAATGCAAGGCTACTGGTAGAGTTAGGGAGGCCACATCTCCACTTGCTGGAGGAGCAACGCTCTGGAAATCAATCCTCCGGGGTTCTATTTAGTGGGTCTAGTGAAGATCTGCTAAATTGCTGAGGGCACCCCCATCGACGCTGGCACTCCTCACTGTTGTGAGCAATAAGGAAAGTCGATTACTTCAGCTAATATTAAAAAACTCCTCCTCTCTCCCCAATTTTCTTCTCTCTTCTCAGGTGTGCCCTGCCGTGTCAGAAAAGTGCAAAAGTTCACATTTATTATTGGCACAGTGACAAACTTTTGGTCCAATATCTCGTAAACCAAATGTGTTACAAATTATCAGGGATAATAATGAGTGTTTCAGCCTTTAGAGAATTAGGAATACTTCTTTCTACTAAGAAAAACCTTCAGTTTCTAGCACTGGTGAGAAGTTGGACATTGGAGATTAAAACATTATTGATAATAAAAGCATAATTTGAAGTCATTTTTAGAAATTTCTGAACTGTATTAGAATTTTTTTCCGTGGTAGGACTGCATTGCAAGACCTGTTATACGAAGGCAGCTTATACTAAGACTCTCCAGACAGAGATCCAAAACAAATTTACCAACACATTATTTAAAAGTCTTAGATTCCCAAGACACTTTCCCTGCAAGATGTATGGCACCAAAATTGTGTTCTGATGGAAAAGTTTGAGGCACCACCTGTGGAGATGGCATGAATAACTAGTGCGTGTAGAAGTTTATGCCAGAAGAGTTGCTTGCATTTAATTATGGCAGCAGGCATGCAAAATATTTGGGTGGTGGAGCAATTTGCCTCACTTGGAATGGGCTGCTGAAAGGTTTCTCTTTTTCCTTGCACACTGGCTGTTGACACTGTAGCTTGAAACAAATCAGCATGAAGATTGTGAAGAGCAAGGTAGTGAAGGATGCTGCAAGAAAGAGCCCCATTTAAAAAGTTATAAATACTTGGAGACTTAGGAAGTAAGGTTTTTATAAGGGTAGTTGGTTCTTATTGACATCTCTCCTCCCTACAATACAGCTTTTTGATCAGCGTTATTTGCAAGAGTGCTGATTACATTGACATAGGCAGAGAAATCCAAAAGGGATGCTAAATCAATATGAAATATTCTCTAAGTCTTTCCTTCACCCACATAGACCATTTTTGCACTATGCCATTTCACAAAATAGACATTCAGAATTCTTATAAATTAGGAAGGGAACAATGTCTTTCCACTCTAGCATATTTAACTTGTACTGCTGTACAACCATTTTTCATTTTGAGATGCTAGGCATACTGGTATGTCATGGACTGTGCAATATGCAGTTCATAGATTCAACAGTGATTTGGCAGACTTTTGAATACGTATTGCTGTATAATGACCAGTACCGAAAACAACTGGGCATAAGGTGAAATCCTCAGAAATAAATATTTGTATCAGGCAATTAGAAACTATTCTATTCCATTTTGTATTGTAAAAGATGAAAGTCTGAGACATTTGTACATGTGTAACATCTAACACATACATGGCTCTCACTCCTCCAGACCAATAGGATGTGCCAGAGTGCCTGCCCTAAATAACACACACCCCTACCAGCATGTCTGTCATGCTCTCTTCTAGACACTTCAACATGTTGCGTCTTTCCACTGATGTTAAACACGTCCATGTTATCCAACAGATCATACATAAATCAGAATAATAATCCGCTTGCCTTTCTATACACTAAGACCTCACCGCCAACAACATATTAATCCTCACAACATTCCTGTGAGGTAGGACAGTGTTGCTGGGCAACCAGAGGCACCGAGACAAGAACAAAATGACTCATTATTCCTTGGAGGGGGAAGAAGGGAGCAGAGCTGTTGGGATCTTCTGCTCCCTCATCTCCTTCCCCTTCTGTCAGAATAGTGTTGGCTGCTCCTTCTCACCCCTCCCCCAACCAATAATTCCTCTTGGCTCCTAAGGGAAGGGGGAGAACTCTTCTTACCTCCCACAGCAGCCTGATTGGCTGCTCTTCCCCAGGAGGTGAGAACATGGGGAAGGCATCATAGGGGTTTTCCCCACAGATGCTGGAACAAGCGGTGCTGGTGGTGTTGTCACATCCCATGGTTTAAAAGCAGCGTGCGCTCCTTGCAAGACGGGGGCAGGGCAGGATGAGACTTGGCACGATTCCCTCACCCCTAAGCCCAGACTGGCCTGGAGGCAGGGAGAGGCACAAAGTCTCCTCCCGCCCTGCTAGGGGCTTGGCACTTAGCTACCTGCCAGCTGAGCAGCAGCTGGCAGTTGACTAAGGACAGTGCTCCCTTGCAGGGCGGGGCAGACTTTGCGTACTCCCCCCGCCCCCAGGCTCTGACTAACCTGGGGGGCAAGGGAGGGGAGTGTGCGAAGTTTCCCCCCACCACCAGGGGCGTGGGCGCTTAGAGGGAACCACCAGCTGTTCAGAACAGCTGGCAGTTCTCTGTGGAGGGTGGGGGCAAAGACTTCACATCCTCCCCCAGACCAATCAGGGTGTGTGGGTGGGGAAGAACTGGAGTGTGTCCTGGCCCTGCCCCTTCTGCCTGAGGCCCCGCTCCTTCCAGGGCAGCCTGGGGAAATTTCAAAAATTTCTGGAGTGGCCCCTGGTCAAAAATTATTGTCCACCCCAGCTTTATGTAATACAGGATGAAAGACTTCCTTCTCCTGAGCTCTCATGACACTGTAAATGGGATGTGCTGGTCTTTATGCAGAACAGCTCCACAAGAGCAAGCACAGGTGATCAGGGTTATAGTGACAGAACAGAGTTTGGAGCTGTGGCATTAGTTCTTCTTAAAGCCAGTAGAATTAGGTGATCCCTAGTTGAAAGCAAGAAACCCTCTCCCTACTTCACCTGTGTTCAGACCTCTCATTCATGTCTGAATGCTTTCTAGACTCACCTCCCACCTCCAGCAGGTGCGGCTGAGTTAATGGCCTGTACCATGTCCGTAGTCAAAGCATCCAGTAAGCTGGTGATAAATTCTACTTTCTTCCCTTCTGGACAGCCTGCAAAACATGAAGAGGAAGAATAACTTGAGAACACAGAGTCAGTCTCCCAACCCTGATTTAACCCTCTTCAGTGTGGAGATCGTGGTATCGGTAAGGTTTAATATGGCACCCAAGTCTCTAACCAATGGGAGAAAAATCCTTGAACAGCTTTTAGCCTCACACATATAGTCAGCTTGTTCCAACCACCTCCAGATCTGCCTGTGTTTTGCATGAATACTACTTTTGTTCACGTCTGTCCTGGCTGGTGCCCCCAGTTGTCTGCCTTCTTTCTCACTTCACTAGTTGATTCCTCTGGGGTCTAGTAATGGCCTCAGATCACCAGCTTTCCCTGTTAAGCAGCATCAGCATTCACTGCTGATTCCTGGCATGCGCACGGTAACCCCTGCCAGAATGACAGCCTCCCACCAAAACAGAACACCTCTGTCAACGCTTTCTGCATTCCCAAACGAGCACACACAACCCATGACAAAGATCTAAAAACTTACCACAATCGCTTTGACAGTTGAAAAGGACCTGCAAATTATTATAACTAAATTCTTCTTTGCAGTAAAACAGACTCAATTTTCTGCCAGATTCAACCAAAGGAAAACAGTTACAAGCATCTCCCCATGTCATGTACATTACACACACACTCACCTGTCCCTTAGCACTCATTTGGCTCACAGTCCAGAAAATGTCAGCAACGTAAAAGCTAAGCTGCTACGGCAGCTGGAGTAGACTACTCACTTAAAGAGCTTTTTGTTGCAGAAATGAGACGGTTGAAAAACTGTGTGCTAAAAATCATCTCCCAGAGGTCTCAGCATCTAACCCTCTGCTGGGACTGGCAGTGTTGCTTGCAGGAAAGGGAATGACAAACTCTCCTTCCTTCTTTCTCCTGGGTCTTGTGGAAACAGCCATGGCATTATTTGTACAGCATAGCGTGCGTGCATACACATATGTGCATATCTGTGTGTGCGCATGTGTCTCTCCCCTTGGGATCTGCAGGATATTTTATAAGAGCAATAAATGTAGTGCTTGCAGTGATGTAAGCTTTAAAGGATGGGGTGACAGTTTGGACAGCCTCACCAAGTCCTCCAATAAAGGTGAACCTCTTGGACAATTAAGAATAACTGAAAGGGTCTCACTCGTGTTTGGTTTGGGGGTATTACAAAGCTGGGAATATAGCAATGGGAAAGAACACCCTATAGCTCTCCTCTCTTTTCCTCCTTCACTCCATTGATATAACTGTATGTATCACTAATGGCTCCCAATAGCTAAACCTGGTTAAATCAATGACAATGTGATAGAAACTGCCAGCCTGAATAAAATGGGCTGGTATATTGAGTACCTACAATGGTACATAGCCAGTCTGTGACTGCGAGCAGCAAAATACCCCCACAGGCCAGTGATGGGACATTATATGGGGAGGGCTCTGAATGACTGCAGAGAATTTTTTCCCAGATGTCTAGAGCAGATTTAAACTAGTATAAATGGTGGATTCCCTGGAACTTAAGGTCTTTAACTCATGGTTTGAACACTTCAGTAACTCAGCCAGCAGTTACTAGCTATTACAGGATTGGGTGGGTGCGGTTGTTTGGCCTACTGTGTGCAGGGGGTCAGACTAGACAGTCATGATGGTCCCTTGTGGCCATAAAAATCTAGGGCTGTGTCTACATTGGCACCCTTTTCCGGAAAAGGGATGCTAAAAAGCGCCAGTCTAGACGGGATCTTTCGGAAAATAAAGCCTTTTCCGGAAGATCCCTTATTCCTGAATTTAAGAGGAATACGTGATCTTCCGGAAAAGGCTTTATATTCCGAAAGATCCCATCTAGACTGGCGCTTTTCTCCGGCAAAGCCCCGAGCCGGAAAAAAGCAGCAGCCATGTTCATGTAAATACCGCAGGGGATATTTAAATCCCCCGCGGCATTTGCAATTCCGACTGGTCTCATTAGCATCCCTTTTCCGGAAAAAGGTGCCAATGTAGACACAGCCTAGGGGTCTATAAATGGAGTCACAAATGAACAAATACAACAACAATTCTCAGACAGTTTACAGCTGGGGTCGGCAAACTCCCACCCACCCCACGGGGAGGCAGCGAATCCTGAGCTGCAGTGGCAGTAACCGCAGTGCAAGTCAATACCTCCTTGACACAAGTTTCACCAACTCCATGTCGGCAGGCAATGCTCTCCCACCAACATAGATGCCGACATTCATTGGGGTGGTTTAAATATGCAGACAGGAGAGGTCTCTCCCATGAAGGAAAAGCAAAAAATGGCATGCACATTGCGTATTATGCTGGATTAAGGCTATGTCTACAGTACAGACCTTGCAGAGGTATAGAAGTAGTGGTACTCCAGCATAATACACAACTTGTATGCACATAGCAGGCATTACTTTTTTGCTAAACTAATTTTAGAAAGTGACTATGCCTGCCTTAAATTTGTTCTGCCTTTGCTTTTCCTTCACTCCACTTTTCCTTTCCATGCTGCTGAATCTTGTATCTTTTCTTGTATTTTTCAGCATTAATTTTTCTATTCTAATTCTCCAGCAAGTTTAATGAGCAAGTTTTAATTTCCTTCCCCACCATCTCCTAGTTCTCTGTTTTGTCCTCCCCTTTCTTAATTGTGTTATTTCAATTTCTCCTTCTTCCTTTCCCAGTTTCTCTCGTTCTCCCTCTATTCTATGAGCATTTGCCTCTCGACTTATAACTTCCACTTGCTTCTTTCTCCCCCTCACCCCACCTCCTGCCTATATACCATTTTTCTATCCTCAGACAGCCTGCATTTTCTTAAGTGTTCAGCCACGTACATGTACTAAACTGAGGCAATTTCTGTCCCCATGTCCAAGCTCCATACAATTGAAGGGAAAGGGCCAATTTTCATCTCTCCCTCCAAATGGCAAAGAAAGAGGCAGCAATTAATGGATACAAAAGGGAATTAGGAATCATAGGGAACCACTTTTTACACAGACACACCAGCAAGTTTGTACAATGTTCACCTTCTGCTCTAGGCAGGGGACTATTCTGAGTTGTAAAGAAAGAGGTGAGATTCTGGGACTAGGTGGCCAGGAGCAGCTACCAACCAAGCTGAGACCTGTAGCAGGCAGGAATGAGGGTGGAACTGAACCGACAGGCTGGAAAGGAGGGATTCAGCCTAGCTGAACTGAGCAACAAGAATTGATCACTATAGTACTGTCCTTTGTCTGCATTATTAGCAAAGGACTGGTTGGCCAGCCAGTCATGGCCAATCTAGGGGCAGCAGCTGTGAAGGTGTCACTGACTAGAAAGAAGTGGCCCTGTCCAGGCAAAGATCAAAGACTTTCTCAAGCTTGAACCTGCTGGTTCTAAGAGTCTCATTGAGCAAGGGATGGGTTACTTTCCCAATACAATTTTTTTTCAGGTATATTGCTTTGCTGTCAGAATTTTGTTTTCAAATGGCATAGATACACTAGGAAGGAAGGGAAGACAGGTGACAAGCCAGCCCATAGGAAACCTTTTCCATCTCCCTATAAACTAGTAGTGCCTCTACCTAGTACATTTCTTGCAAAGGACTCCAAAATGTGAAGAGACCATAACATACATACATATCAGAGAGAAAACCCATCAAATCCCCATTCTCTTAACACAGATTTTCCCCTTCTCTTGCTTCACCAACATTAAAGACAGATGGATGTCTGCTCCACTCTAACCTGGAAGCTCTCGGTCCTTGAATGGATCATCAATCTCTGTGCTCTTTGATCTAGCATCACTTTCACACACCGGTGTCTCATAGCTGGAAATGGGAGAGAGGAAGGAAGTTCAACCATCTGATATAATTACAGAGACAATAGGTTGCCATAAAGAGATTAGTGAACATTTCAGTCTCGCTTCATTATCCTAGTGCAGAGCGCGAACACACAAAAACCACAGGAATCCAAGGGGGAAATAAATGGACTCAAACTCAGCCTTCATACAACCAGGGTGATTCCTGTAGGAAGAGGGAAGCTAGAAAAGTAAATAGCATGTATGTGACTTTGCCTTATATCCCTGGCCTCTTCCCTTCTCTTGTTGGAGAGCTGTCAGGCTTCTCGGGCTTCTCAAGAACTATTCACCATCAGTGCTTGCCTAAATGGTAGAAGTGGCCAGAAAACTTTATGAACTTCAGCTGGCCAGGAGGTCAAGCTCCTTTCTGTTACATGTGAGCTTACCCACAGCAAGCCAGGCAGTCTGAAACCTAGACATAAGGGGAGTACAATGCATTGTACCTTGCAGAGTATATATTTCAGCATGTAAAAGCCTGTCTATTGAACAGAACAGACCAGTAAGATCATCTCTAGAGCTCACAGTAACTAGCAGGTCAAACAGTTCAAGTTCTGTTCCTTCCCTTAAAAAATTCTCAAAGAGCCCAGGAATGAACTTTTTCAACCCTTCTCTGCCCTTCTGAACAACAGATGTGTTCACAGAATTACTAAAGGTTGAACCTCTCAAGTCCAGCACCTTTGGGACCTGACCTGTGCCAAACGGGGAGGTCGGTATTGTCTAGCAGCATTACCAACACTTCCGCTGTTTGCTGGGCTCTGAGAAGACAGTTAGGAGTAAATTAGGGGCTAAATAATATCACAGAACATGAAGAGCCGAGACTGAGGGCTGTACACAAACATTATGGGACCACAGGGAACTTGGCCACACACATGATAAGTAGACATCTGGCTAACTAAACTCATGCTGGACCACAGAAATTGCCAGACCAGAGAGCCAGACTAGACGTGTTCAAACTGTACTGCTAACAAACCCAGGTTCAAACTCACAGCGGCTAGTTATCAGAGCTTGCTAGCGCTACAGTTTGCTCCTGTGGAGCTTTCAAGTTGTGTTGTGCAACAGATGTCTCCTGGAGAGCTTTACAATGTGCACACACAAAGATTTCAATATGGAATCTGTGTCTGTATTGAAATCTGACTGCACACAAAGTTTTCAACTTAGAGCTTTTTAGATCAGTACTAGCCATGACAACTTAGGTTCAGACTGTTTCTGGCCACAACATGGAACACAAGGCTGGGGATAATTCAAGCCACTTTCTTCCCAGTTGTCCCTGGCCATTGGCTGGGTGGTACAACAGGCCTGCAGCTTGTGTCCTTGACCTTAGGGACTGTTTTCTTCTAGTGCTCTAGAGCTGCAAGTCAGCTCAAAGACAGCAGGTGAGTGGAGGAAAGAGAACTGTTCCTCCTCTGAACTGGCCATCTTCTCTGGGTGGGCAGAAAAACAGAAGCATGTTGTACCTAAAGGATGGCCAAAGGTAACACTCCTTGTGCAGAAAAGGACTCCTCAATTTCCTCTCATGGGGATTCTGCTCCTCCATGATGCACACATGTGCCAATCCAACGCAACTGAGCCCTTAGTAGTCTAGTTAGTATCAGTGCTGTTAGTCTCAAGGAAAGCCGTTGCCACCATAACTCAGGAAAACCTCATTTCCCGGTGTCTATAACTCAGTGGTGGTGCTCTCTGCAGATAAAAACCAGGCTCCATCCTCAGAGAGGACCAGCCATTCTGAGTAGCTCAAGTTGTAAAGTTCAGCTGTGTTTGAGCTTTGTGTGAGCAAAAAAGATTCTTCAAATATAGTTTATATGGGAAGTGGTTGTTTATTTCACCTTTACATTAACTCTCCACAGGGGGAAGAAGAGGAGACTAAGAGTGATCAAGGAATATTTCAGCCAGAATTCTGCATTTTTCAGAACATTAAAAGCATGTGAAAACAGTGATAATGAAAGCCTGGACAAATCCTTAAGTTTGATGTGTGCTGCTAAATATGCTATAACACAGGTATTTTCCTCTCTGCTTCACTGAGTCCAGCATACACAACTGGAATGAATGATATATTCTTCCCCACTTGAAGTACATAAGAGTAATTAAAGTAGTGTGCATTCATGGGGCAAACACACATTTTCTCTTCCTCTGCCCCTCACCCTGCAAAGTAACAATATTTAGCACTCCTCAAGTATTTTTCCTCCCTATGCGTATGGATTAGTTTACTAGACATAGGAAAATGAAGTGGCGATTTAAATAATCACCGCATCATTTACATCAAAATGGCTGCCGTGCTGTGCCGATCAGCTGTTTGGCGGCCCGGGGGGGCAGTCTGGACGCGCCGCGGTCGACAAGGAAAGCCTTTGTCGACCGCTCCGGTAAACCTCATTTCACGAGACATAAAGGAGTGGTCAACAAAGGCTTCCCTTGTCGACCACGGCGCATCCAGACTTCCCCACTGTGCCACCAAACAGCTGATCGGCACAGCGCAGCGGCCATTTTGATGTAAATGAACTGGCAATTATTTAAATCGCTGCTTCATTTTCCTATGTCTAATAAACTCATCTACATGGCTCCGTCGACAGAGCCATGTAGTCTAGACATACCCTAAGTCTCCCAGAGCTTTTCTGCTCATTTGACAGATGGAGAAACTGAAGCAGAGAAAGGTGAAATGGCTTGACAGTGAATCAGTAGCACAGCCAGGAACAGAACTAAAGTTTTCCAATTCCCACCCATATGCTTTATTCACTCACCTAAAGGTGCTCCCTTATGCTGAGATAATGGCAAAGATTAGAAAAGCTGAGTGTATGATAGGGAGAACCTTTCTAGTGCCATGGTGTTCAACCAGTTCTGAAGCAGTAGTCACTATAGTGGCTACTGCTATAGCAAACTAAGCGCAAAAAGCCACACGTGGCTAGTGTGTTGGATACCATGGTTCTAGTGTATCTGTACTTGTGACTTTTGTGTGTGTGTTTGGAGGGGGGTTCTGTTGGAATTGTCCTTTCACCTTGCCCTGTTATTAAGTTCTGACAAATTCAGCAAACATAACAAAAATGTGAGATGCTAATTAGTCTATCTGGCTGTAGAAGCTACTCGATCCAAGAGAGGGGGAAATATTAAGAAAATATTAATAGTCATTCAGATAAGGAGGCTTAAGCACCCAACTCATGCCCAACTATGCTGGTTGCTAACTAGAGCATCTTCTGTTCTAAACAGGAAACTAGATTGGATAGCTCTGGCCTCTTCTGGCATGGCAATTCCCAGATTCTGATTCTTTTGTTTTCTCTGAATTGGTGCCTTCTCCATCATAATTATTTCATACTCTACCATACAGGGCAGGTTCACAGCGACTTGCTCTCACCGGGTAGAAGTACCAGGCAAGGGGCGTCCCGTGTCCACCAAGACACACCAGCAGTACCCTGTGGACTGATGACACTGCACTGGTTTGTACAGCCCGCCAGGAGCACACTCTGGGATGACAATACCCTCGCGGGGGTTCTGCCTGGCCTCCTCCAGGGCACTCTGTCGCTCCTGGTCACATGAGTGAACTTTCTCTGGAAAAGAAAGAAAAACAGAAATATCCCCCTCCGCAACAAATCATGGCTTCAGAGCAACTTACAGCGCTCATGATGCTAGTCAGTCTTGAGAATGCTAGATCCCTTTTTCTTCCCTAGGAAACTCCAATATTCAAAAAGTTCCCCAGCATGCACAGGGAGCTGTGTTACATTCCGGACCTGAAATCCTCCTCCTACTAACGACAGTGGCTACTTGTGAAGGGGTGCACCAAAAATATTTTCCGCTCTGGCTGTCAAAATGGCTAGGGCTTTTCCCACGTCCTAGAGAGAGTGCATTTTCTGTACACCCAGAGGGAACAAAAGATGGTCCTACCCTATCATGCCTCAGGCTTCTATCAAGTGTGTTAGAGAACAGACTCATTTAGCTGGCAGAAGTAGTAGGCTGCTGTGCTCTACATGGACCAGTGTCTGGGAGTGTGGGGGGCGGGGGAAGGTGATGAGACACACTTTACAAACCTATAATGTTAACATTTATTTAACTGAAACAACTGAGAGGAAATTTCTGTTAGAGAACTCAGATGTGTCCATCTGGCCTTTAATCTGAGGGCTGAGAAAATTGTTGCTTCACATTCTCTTGTCAACTAAGGAATCTAGAAAAGAATGGAAGACTGGATATTCATAAGGTTAAAAAATAGGTAGAGAACATCCCAATAAATGGATTGGATTTTCTTAAAATGTGGGAGACAAATGCTCCCCCATTCCTTACCCCCTTTTGCAAGTCACTTTAATAGGCCATATTGCCTGAAATCTTTTCCCATTTTCAGGGGCCACTTCAAGTTTTCAGTAAAGAAAATAACTCAGAACCCTGATAGGAGGTGTCTCAACCTGAACTTGTTGCCATTTTGATGACCAGCTGGGACATGCTGTATTACACAGCTGTCTGGTCTTTTGGGGAGAGAGCAAGGGGTTCCAACCACAGAATTAGTCTGGCAGTTCTGAATGCAGTTATTGGGCACAGATTGCGTCAGTTACCAGAGAGAGGCCAGGGCACCATGATTTCTAAATTGTAACATAGCAACCAAAAAAAAAAGGTTCCAAGAGACGACAGATGCCCTCCATCCCAAGCATTTCAGACCCTCCTTAAGGTAGTGAATAAAATAAAAAAAGATACTTGAACTTTGTCACACACAAATGAGATTTAATGTAAGAGCCTTAACTATGTGCAAGTCTGACTCAACCAGAAAGAAACTTGATTGGCAAGAAACAGGGGAGGAGGGGGGAAATAAAATCAACACAACTGAAAGGGCTCAAGTCTCGGCTGATATTTAAGCTGACTTCATTTTGCTGACAGATTTCACATCTTAAAAAAAATGTGACTGTTCCTGAGCTGTATGCAGACAGAGGAGTCATTCAGTAAGAGGTCTGTGGGCTTCTTAACAAATCAATTACATCACAAGGGGCCAGCTTACTCAAGGTCCCTGCCTGACAACAGTTTACACCTTGGCCATCGGGTGAGGGGTAATTCATTTTGTTTGACGAAGCAAACAAGGCAGCCAGGATTCCATGCCTACGATCACCCCATTTTTTATTAATTCTATTTATTTAATAACCAAAAGAAAAAACTCCATTGAAGGGAAGTGCATTCCAGGCATTTTTCTCTCTAAATCCCCAAAGCTTCCTCAGTACACAAATTCTCTAGAGTCCTTTGAGTCTTGCAAAACTGGCACTTAAGGGGGGGGGGGGGGGGGACAAACCAAAACTCTTTTTTTG